ATGTTATATATATATATATATATATATAAACATTAACATAGAAAAATGAATTATTATATATAGTAAAATCCAAAATTTTTAATTGTTTAAAATATCGTAAAAGCACCATTTAAAATTCTAAGTACTTTAAAGCAAATTTCATTAATATACGAGAATTTTTGGTAGCATTTCTACAATTTTTTGTAATTTAAATGGTTATTTTAAAATAGTTCTATTTAATATTTTAAATTTATTTTGTTATAATAGTTTTATAATAAATAAACATTTATAATAAAAAATGGTTTACTGTATGTTTAATTAAATATAAGAAAAAGATTTTCTTGTCCATCATTTATTATTTTGCTGAGTGATGTATTATTCCGTACAATAAATAATTTTTGACTTGTTTGTCTCACGAACATCTGTGTATAAATAAGAAGATGTCGTATATTCCATCTTGTTCAACATCCAAAAATTATCATATTATACTTCATCCTGAAAATGTTTTCGTATTTTCCGAACATATTTTTTAAATAAAAACTTTTAGGTTCTGTAAGATACATACAGATATATATTTTTACACTTATCTTTTAATAAATGTTGCTAAATAATATAACTTACTAATAAGGTTCGGTTTTATTTTTGCTAATCTTTGATATCATACGAATCTACAGATTGAGTACAAAATGAATATAGTATTTTATACAATTATAATCTTTAATTCAAAAATTAAAGCAGAGATTATTACATGTTTGTTATTTAATATGTTTAAAATAACCGAAAAATTAATTCCTAAAGAAAAATACTTTTTTTATTCTTTAACCAACCGTTTTTGTAATTGTTACTCAATGCATATATTATAAATTTTTACGCTATCGATTTCTTATTAAGTTTGATAAGACGTACAGTACATTCTACTTTCATTCGAGATTAATTCACATTTTATTTTTTCATTCTTTATATAAATTCCTTTGCTCTCTTATTTGAATAACGGTAAAAAATAAATAAATAATTCATACAAAAAATTCAATTTATATATATATTATATTTCAATTAATTTAATATATACTTTTTCTCTAAAGGAAACTATAGTATTTCCCTGAATAAAATATGAGACCTATGTGTTGGGTCTAGAATGTACAGTACCAGTATATCACATTTCCGCCGTAGCTAAGCTAAAAAAGCTTACGAAGTTTCAAATTAACTTAATGCTGTAATTGAATTAATTGTATTGATTATAGCTGTAAAAAACAATCTTGTTTTTGAAGTTTTTAGAATTAATTTATAACCGTATTTTAATGAAATTTGTGAATTATTATATTATTTATTATTGAAATTATTGAAATTATATTTTATTAATACAATTTAAACTGTTTTACCTTTTATTGTAAGTTAATATTATCTATTATCTAACAGCATTTTAACAAATAAATGATCTTTCTTATTATAAGTAATTAAATATAGTTTTCCAATCCTGTTCACTTCCATCCAGAGAAATCAGTCTGATGTGTCCATTTTAATGGTAAATAAGTTCAAACAATGTCTTCAGAAAAAAAGTCCAATTTCCAAAATAATTTTCTCCTTTTCTCATCGTGCTTGTTTCATTGTGATGTGCAATGTAACCTTTCATCTGACTCCAGACTAACTGAATTGGGTTAAGTTTTGCATATATGTAGTGATAGACGTAAAACAATTCGACCTGCTATTTTAACCATGTCATTGACACGATAACTTTAAAGACTTCACAATAACTCAGCTTCTCTATTTTCACTATCTTCAGCATTCACTATTGTTCTGGATGCCATTCTATTCCTTTCCCAGTTAACCAATTAGGCGTTTTTATTTTCTCCACAAATTTGTAAAAAGATTGTTGGAGCAAACGATAGGAACCCCGTATTATTTATAACTAGAGAAGAACCATATGGAATGTGCACACTAGACGTCTTAATCTATTCTTCGAAGCAGCATCCATTTATTTCCTTATGACATTTTCTGATGCTCCATTACAAATCCATTTTCGTTGCCTGCATGATCACAGATTAAGCAATTACCACGACATCTGGAATCTTTAATTGAATAGACAACACACAAATAAATTTATTTTGATAAAATATCACAGTACTGTCTTTCTAACATTTGGAAATCGTATGATCAATGTTAATGAATGTCATCTAGATATTAAATATTCTTCTTTTGTTGTTGGTGATGATGACAGATTATTCTCAAGTAACCCCATGAGACTACGTTCGGTAATTTTTGAAGTTTCGATTCTGATTTTAACAATAAACACAAATTCTATTTCCTTCAATTAAGTACGCAAAATTAACTTATACTGTATTTGGCAAATTGTAATTGTCGTATATTTCACAGAAAATGGTTTTAATCGCGAGAGATTAATTTATAAAAAAAATAAAATCGATAAATTGTGTTTCTAACGGCCTTGCAGAGACATCACATTTCGTATCGAGTTTTTCTTTATGCAAAGTTTCCTTTTAATCTGAGACCTCTATCTTTCCACTTGTGCATCACCATTCTTTCTTCACAGAAAAATTTCATTAATTGACAAATCAGCTAGAACCGAAGTCTGCTGTGCTGCCTCTTCAACTGACATATATGGGTTTTGTTCTGCAACTTAGCATGTAAATTAAGAAGTATTTCTTTGACTTATTCTCATAAGCGTTGTTTTTCTTATTAGTTTTTAAATAGCATTGAGGTAATTTGCTTGATACAGTTCGCAGCATCCGCCATTTTGAAGAATATCAAATAGAAATTCAAAAATAGAACAAAGTTGCATAACATAGAAACTTTGAAATAAAATAATTTACCATTTCTGTTTTGAATATAACGTCATGCATGGGACCTTCAAGACGAATTTTTCCCTTAAGAGTTTCAAATTTTAATGGACGATTTTCATATACCACATTCTTTGTTCACAAAATATTGAAAGTTTTAAGGTACGTTTTAAGTATGTCGCTCCGCTCTTTGCATGACATTTTTTGAAGATATGAAGTGTGTTTGAGTCTGAATGAAGATCACTTGCGTATTGTTATCTTCAGAACATAAACGAAAAATTATTCTACTTGAAACCTTATAGTTAACGGGTATTTAAAAGTTAAAACCGTTAACTTTTAAATACCCGTTAATATTGATATAATGACCCGTTTTTCTGCCGGATCTTACATTTTCAATTTTTCGTAAATTAATTCAATGAACGATTTTTAAAAATTAGATCACAAAGATTTATATAATTAAATTGTAAAGTATAAATTAAAAAATAACAATAAAAGTTTTAATTAATATTGCATGGATAACTTAAATTTTTCTTAGATTTTTAATTAATTTATAGAATTTTGAAATAATGTTTTTTTTCTAATATAAATAAATTAATATAGTATTTTTACACATTTAAAAAATCACATCGATTTTCCAGATTTTAAAATATTTTCCTTATCCGCAGAAATATTCTGACATGAAATATTAATAGTTTTATTCTCTCTATCGACATATCAATTACTTTAATTGTAATATATTAATGCTTGCAAATCTATTAAATTATTTTAAAATAAATCTACAGACTAATGATTACTTTCTTCAACTTCAGTTATACACCATAATAAAAAAGCAATATTTATTAGAATTTTTGATGTTTGTTAACGCTTTTACATAAATTTTAAAAATGGTCGTTTATATTAAAATTGACGGGAATACTATTTCCTGCCAAACATTTTAACTACGTGGTTCGCTTATAAACTATACTATTATCAATGATTTTAAGTTATTCGCAATAATATTAAACTGTAACTTATTTAAATTCATGTCACGAACATTATAAACTTTTCTCGAAAAAGATGATAAGAAATAAATAACTTATTTATGATATTAATATATATATAATCTAATAAATAAATAATCAATTCAAGTAGCATTTATAATAGTAAAAAATGTTTTGTTGTTTCCTATTATTAATTAAAAAATAGCCAATGTACGATTTTAATATTATACGAGGATAGTATTTCAAAACATATTTAATAAAGTACAGCACGTAATGTTGAACAAAACCTCATTATTGATGAGAATACTGTATAAAATAATGAACTAGAGCGTTCACTAATAACGATCATCTAACATAAATACTAACTACTGTTGTTAGTTATAAATATTAGATACTTGACGCTTATAATATGACCACGAGAACATTTTAATTAGGCTAAGATGACCTTAAATTAGCAACCTTTTTAGATAATCTACATTGTCCAAAATCATAACTATTTTATATTTGCCTCAAAAGTTTACAATGTTTTACTTATCAAAATACGTTAAAGCCTAATGAATTCTAATGCTAAGAAAGAAGATAAAAATACTTAATAGTGAAGATTAAAAAATAAGCTTACTTGCGGTATCTTGAAAAGTCGCAAGAGATTAGCCACTTGTATTGATGTTACACTGCTAGCAGCACCTAATACTCCACTCACGATTTTCTGCTTGATACTTGGACTCGATCCATCCGGACATCGATAGGTTCCTTCGTCCAGATTATTAATATAGCCTAGAATTTATTAAACGATAAAAATAGTTAGTTGCGTTGCATTTAAGTAAATTTAAATTCATTAATCCATCGAGTATATTTATAATTTAACTCGTAACTATAAAGATATTCTATTGTTAAATTCTATTGGGACTTTTAAACTACAAACGAATAAATTATTATTTAATGGCATGTTAAAATTACAATAACTTGTAGGAAAAAACATAATTAATGTTAATTATAGAATGTAATTTTATCATGACAACCACTAATACGAATAAATCATTGTTCTTTTATATTTATCGAAAGCAACTACGAGTTATCAAGTTGCATAATTTATTATTCTCTTTGAAATTGGCAATAGGAATATCGTATTTTTAAAACCTTCAAATCTGAACAAGTTATGTATATTTATACATATACCATTGTTTTGATATAACAATATTCAATACAATAAAAAAGAAATTTCGCTATCATCGGTTATCAAATTTCTTGATATAATTGAATCTCAAATATTCACACAACGTCACATATGTTTGTTTAGTTTACTCTAAAATTATTAAATTCAAAATAAAATTTCAGATATTTTTCTATTGTTTTTTTAAAGACATTATATATAAACTTGACAATATTTTATATAATTAGATTTGATATTCGTAAAATTTTCCACAAAATATTCATTAAAATTAATTTTAATATTTAAAAAGTGAAAGTAAATTTTTATCATCCTCTCTCACTTCAAAATCAAATGAATTTGTAAACATATGACAAAATATAATTTCTTTAGCTATATAAATAAAATCTAAAGTGTACAGTACTTACTTATTTTATTCATATCTAACTCAATTATTTTTTTTTCAACATTACTCAACTCTTATTTTCTTATAACTGTAATTTTTTGTAGGCATATAACTTAGATATTTATGCAAATATAAACATCAAAACCCGATTGTCAAATTATTATAATTTATTAATTAATATACCTGATATAATTCGGCCATCGTTTGCCTTTTATATTTAAGTGTATATAATTTTAAATATATTTAGGAAAAAACAATAGTGATTAAAATGCATATTATCTGTTATATTCATTATTTAAAATATATCAGTAGCTAATACCCAAAGAAGATAAAAGATACGATAGCCTTTGACCTAGGAGATTTATTTTTTATTAATCGTAGGTGATTGCATGTGATCTATGTTTATTGATTGTGTTTACTGATCCTCTGTTCACTAATCAATCACCCTGATTGATTAAAGTAAATGAAGCATTATCACGTTACAGACTATAACTGGCCACAGTTACTCCATTTATATTTCCTGATTTAAAAATGAGACCGTTGAGCATAAGGGCAGGATAGGGATGACGTCTTGATTCATTCTATTTATAATAAATTTTGGATTTCGACCAGGTTAGATATGACGACTTTCTTCTGTCGATACTGAACATTTGATAAATTTCATTGATGGTTTATACGCTTCGTTAATCATTTGTCATAAATCATATCTACCAAAGCCTCAAAAAGGAATTGATTATAAATACTGTGTACAGTACATTGTTATATCAAACTTCGTAGTATTCGAGATAATACTTTCAAAAATGAAATTGAAAATAGAATAATAAAGAGCAGAAATGCAAACAAAATACAGTATGTTCTTTTTAGATATTTGTTTTACTTTTCTAAAGATCCAAGAAATGTTTATTCTGTATTTTTATAACGTCAAAAATATAACTGTTATGTCAGATAAAGAAAATTGAATAGAAAAAGTTATTTTATTTCGATAAACCAGGAAGACAGATATAAAATTAAGTTTAGTATTTGTTTTCATAAAACGATTTTACTGATCAACTGTAACTAAGAAGAGATCTTCTATAAAACGCTATATATAACAAAATTAATAGTAAGATTATTCGGACAGTCAACGTTAACTTATTCAATTTGTATTTATAGGATTAATGTTTTCTTTGATACTTGTACAGTACATTCTACAAATGCTCCTATTAATTATTTATTGTTAATGTTACGAAATTTAAATAAATTTTAATAATATTTTTTCTTTATGCATTCACTATAGATTGATAAATGAGTCTATAGAGATTATAATAATTGACATAGTCTTCATATATTTTAATCTACTGAAGTAACGGAATACGTAGAATAATAAACGAATAATTTGTAATATAAAAAGCTGACTTAAAATTTAAACATTTAGTTCTTTCCTCAAATAAAAATACTATAAAATGTTATATAAAAAAATTATTTAAATGTTCTTGCATTTGTACCTAATTAATTTAATCTATATTTTGTTGATAAATTCTTAGAAAATTTTATTACCGTACAAGAATTTTCATTATTTATTTATAAATTGCGTAGTTTTTCAATTTAAATTCATGTCAATTGAATTTAAGATAATTTTATTATTTAACAAAATTCTGAGACTTGAAATTTATATATAATTTTATTCCAAGATATCGCTACAAATTCAAAGTTCGGTTCTAACGGTTAATAAATTATTATGTCATTTAAAACGTCACAATATTTATAAAGCACATTTTACCCTGATAATTTTTTATGCCGTCAGTATGGAAAAATAGTGTTTATGGACTCGACAGTAAAGTTAACAGATCACTTTCTGAAAAACTGTTTATCTCAACAGCTCTCAACAGGCTAATAATGCTGAATTAATGTTTATGATTAGATGCTAATATTTATATTTTTATGTTTAAAATTATTTTAAGCTTCAGATAACATTGATTTAAAATTATCATGCCCGTAAAACAGGTATAGTAATTTTAACATATAATTGTATTTTATCATTACGATAGATGCAGAGATGGAATGATTGGTAAAATGAATGTTGTGGTTAACCTTTGAGAGAACTGAGTAATAAAATAGTAAATGATTTGAAAAGCAAAATTCAATCGATGACATATTACGCTTTCGGTCTGTAACTTTGTTATGACATGATTTTCGATGAAAAGTTTCAAAGAAATCTATTCTATATTAAAAGTAAGTAACGACGAACAACTTTATAATTGGAAAAAGTAGTTCAATTAGAAAACATTAAAAATCTAACATTGTTAAGTATAGGTTATTTTTATCATAGTTATTAACCTGATTTTTTTCAAGTGTATAAGTTAAATTTAAACTGAAAATAAAACAATTTGTTACATTACCTTATCGACTAAGACTTTTCATTGAAATGTTAATAATAAGAGTTAAAAATGAGAATTTGATTCTCATTTTTAACTCATTTTATCATAACTCATTTAATTTTACAGAAAATTATATAAAATAATCAAGTCTTAAAATTACGTAAAATTAAAAATAATATCAAAATTACGTAATTGTATTGTAAATTTTTTTTTTTATAATATAATTAGGTGATTTTGATACAATAATCCGATTCCATCGTTTTAAATTAATTTCTATATATTTAAGAATAATAATTTTATATAAAAATAATTATTCAAAAAATTTTATTAAGTCTTCTGTACATAAAAAAAATACTTATTTTAAAATCATAATGAACATTTTATTGTCATGGGAAAAAATAGAAACGGAGGCAGGAAATAGTTGAATCATACGAAATTCTTAAACGAGTGAGTGAAGCTCGCTTTTATTTTATGTAAAAAAATTTAAAGCTTATTAAGAAGTTTTATATAAATGACTTACGTTATCGTGGGAAAATGTGAGTTAATCGCAAATTGCCTTAACATAGAGAAATTAATAAGAAACGAATGTAAAGAATGTTAAAAACCATATCTGACTAAATTTAATAAAATAAAATTAATGTATGAAAAAGTAAGTTGATAATAATAAGGTAACGAGGGACAATACACAATAAACAAAATGTGGATATAATCACGTAAAGCTTAAAAACGGAGTAAGTTAGTTTCAAAATACAGTAACAATGATGACAACTCATTTGTAAAATTAAAAATGCGTTATTAAGTATATCTTACATGTTTCATAATGTAATGTATTTAAAATATTAGAACGTACTATGAAAATTTAGAATGTAGCCTATAAAATATAATTTAAATAAAATTAAAGAAAAACATTCTATATATGTGTGTGTATATCAAAGGAATCGAAATCAATTTCTTCCAAATAAAATTTCATCAAATATAATTTAAAATGCCTTGAACATTAGAAGAATAACTCATAAGAAAGCATTGATTAAATTTATCTTCTAGTTTATCTGAATAATATATTACTAAAATGAAAAAAAAAAAACACACACACACAGATATATTAACGATTTTCGTATCAAATATCGTTTATTTATATTTTTTGATTTTTCAGAATAAATCAATACTAGAAAGAGGTAATACTGACAGTGTGTTTTTTGTCGCTTCTTATCCATATTTAAAACGAATCACTCCTTTTCTTTAATTGAAAGTATATGTCAAAATACAGTAGAATCCCGATTATCCGAGAACTTCTAAGTGAATTTCTTATACTATACCTCATAAAAGAAAGCTTAAAACGGTAAGACATGTTACAAAACGGTCTATTCCTGTTATTTTTTTCATTTAACAATGAAAGACCAATTATTCATATTAAAATGTAACTACACTAATATACGTTTTAATTCTTAAAACTGTATCATACGTACAAATATCCCTCGCACAACGCGGCACTTCTACATCACGGTTTCGCTTTAATACGGTTCGAAATTTGGGGATATCTCCCGTATAACACTGTTTCCGGTTTAGCTTTAACACGGTTTGGGAAACTTTCCGTACAAAAATTGACAATTTTTAAGTGCAAATTCCGTTATTCGATAATTTTTTATTCAAGTTAGCACGCATAGTGTCTCAAATTTCCCCACGGATTTTAGAATGTTGAAATTTCTAATTCATTTTGTGTCTTTCGTCAGGATTACTTTAATGAAAACTGATAGTACAAGTTTTTCCTTCCTTGTCCTAGCTTTCCTGTCAACGGGTGTCGTTGTCGTTGCTTTTAGACTTTAGCTTCTAAGATTGTCTCTGTGTTTTGTTTTATAGATTAATC